GCTTACCGATTCACCAAGGTGCCTGGTGTAGTCGTCGACACTGTCAAGCACAAGCGGCCTCGACCAGTGCATGCTGCGCGATGGTGCCACCGATTGCCGTTGGATTATCTCAAGACAAATCTATTGGGGACGTCGAATGTTAAATTTGTCAAGCGATGGGTTAAGAAAGGAACTCAGATTATTGATCGAGTATGGGGTCTTTTGAAAAACAATGGAGTACCAAAAACGATTAAAGCGCGCGATGACATTGTAGATTTGTATACGAGAGAGTTCCAGTGGAAGTATTGGAACGAACACGATGACAAATGGAAAGCCATGGGACATGTCATGTCAAATAGCTATTGAATCATGCTCTCTCCATTATGTTGTTCTTTGGATACTGACGAGCTGGCGCGCGTGGTGCACAGGAAAATCAGCCAAATCTCTCTTGGCATTGCATCGCCGACACTTCCAACCGCATGTTCCTTTTAATGTCCTGCGTGTTTATTCCAAAATAGGTTCTTATTGTACACAATAGGTTTCCTAGTGTAACTGCCAGAAACGTAAGGAATTATTTAATTTATTTAATTAATTTATTTAATTTATTTAATTTGTTTAATGTATTTAATTTATTTAATCTATTTACTTTATTTAATTTATTTAATTTATTTAATTTATTTAATCTTTAATCGCCCTGATAACCCCTTCCCCCTATCACCTCCTCGGTAGATGGAGGTGTATTGGAATTAAATAAAATAAATAAATTAAATAAACTAAATAAATTAAATGATTCCTTGTGTTTTAAATTACACAATAGGTTTCCTATTGTAAATACAAAAAAACGCAAGGAATTATTTAATTTGTTTAATTTATTTAATTTATTTAATTTTTAATCGCCCTGGTAACCCCTTCCCCCTGTCACCTCCTCGGCAGATGGAGGTGTATTAAAATTAAATAAATTAAATAAATTAAATAAATTAAATAAATTAAATGGTTTCCTGTGTTTTTTATTACACAATAGGTTTCCTATTGTAAATGCAAAAAAAACCCAAGGAATTATTTATTTTATTTAATTTATTTAATTTATTTAATTTATTTAATTTTTCATGACCCTGGTAACCCCTTCCCCCTGTCACCTCCTCGGCAGATGAATTGTATTAAAATTAAATAAATTAAATAAATTAAATAAATTAAATGAATTAAATGATTTCCTGTGTTTTTTTATTACACAATAGGTTTCCTATTGTAAATGCAAAAAGAAACGCAAGGAATTATTTAATTTATTTAATTTACTTAATTTATTTAATTTATTTAATTTTTAATGGCCCTGGTAACCCCTTCCCTCTGTCACCTCCTTGGCAGATGAAGGTGTATCAAAATTAAATCAATTAAGTAAATTAAATGAATTAAATAAATTAAATAATAAAGTAAAGGAATTAATTGAATTAAATTAATCAAATAGTTAAATAGATTAAATGAGTTGATTGTTATTTCATTTGTATACAAAAGGAAAGGTACAGTCATGTTTGAAAGGTAGATCTCAGAGGGCGCTGTAACCATATATATATATATACATATATACATATATATATGTATATATATAATGGGGACGACTTTTCTATTTGTTGACTAGTTTTGACTATGTTTTGTTTTTCGTCTAAAACCCGCCTGTAGGAGGACATGCCCGACCTAATCGAAGGCGCACCCTTGCAGTCATTGTTGCACACCTCCTCGCTCCCGGGGCCATCGGCCGTGCCGACAGCATTCGGCGGCGCGCAGAAGTGGGGTGGCGCGAGGCCGGCGGCCTCTCAAGAACGCCAGCGCCGCGAGAACAACAGCTGCAGTGGGGGCCCATGCCAAGAAGCATCCTGCTTGCCTCCAGGGTGCCCTGGGTTTCTCAGGTTTCGATGGATCTGCCATGGAGAGCGCGACGCTCCCGCACCAAAAATCAGTGGACGTCCTGGGGTCTCAGGGTTGGGTTCCTTGTGGGAGGTTTCTTGTGGACTGGCCTCCACTGTAGCCAGGATAGTGAACACAAAGGGAAGGAAGAGAAAGGTAACCTCATGCTCTACACGCGCTGAGTGTTGGGCGCTCCAGTGCCCCCGCCGACCCCCGCAGGGGCCATCCTACGGGACGCCTTCCGGCGTCCATCCAGGGGGGCCCATCGAAGCCCGCACTCTCCGGGTCCCCCTGTCGGGGTGCAGCCCATGTGGTGCAAATTGTGTGGTGCAGGGCAGCGCACAGCAACGAAAAGGGCGGCAAAGCAGTGCAAAGCATTGCAGAGCAGGTCACAGCAGTTGAAAGCAGTGCGACGACGGGGCGGCGGGCGGAGACGACGCTGCGACGGGGCGGTGACGGCGACCGCATAGCCGCCAGACCGACGCGCAGGCCCAGTCCCTTAGAGAACGAATGAGAACCCGTAAGCGCAAGCATTGTTTAGAGGACTTTTGGAGGTTCATGCATCGGCGCGGGGTCCACCTTGCCCGGCGCGCGCGCCAGGGGCGGCGCCAGAGGCGCTGTCAGGGGGACCCGGCGCCGACCCAGTCTATCCGCGCGGACATGCGACAGGTTACGCTTATGGAGGCAAACATATGTTTGACGACATGCTTGCAACGGGATGGCGGCAACGAGCTCACCGTAGGCACAAAGTCTTGAGGGCAAAAATTGGTTCACTGAAGGCATATGTCCCGAAGGGGGACATGTGTCGAGGAAGGCAATGGCATTTGCCTTCAGTTCCAAGAGTGTTTGCCAACACACATGTTGTGCCTTCAGTGCGCTCATCGCCGCCACCCCGTTGCCGCCAAACCCAGACCCTCGACGTCATGATTGCTGTGACCACGTCGACCCCCAGAGGTCTCGACACAGCCGGAGGGACCAGTCTTTCATTCCGAGCCGCTCTTCGACGGCCCCGAGGCCCAGTTAGGGCCCCTAGAGGATGGAAACAGCGACAGACCGCCCGTCGTGATTTTTCCATGGTTCGTGGAGGTCTGGGATGGGCGCACGGTTAGGTCGGACATGTCCCCTTACAGGCGGATTTTCGACGAATAGTCAAAAATAATCAATCAAAAAAATGCAAAACATGGTTGTTTCTATTATTGATGTTATATATAATCTACGAGTTTGAACATCATTCTTGTAGAGGGACACGCCCGACTCAAGCGCACGGCTCCGCGGCTCGACTGCAGACGCAAGCCGCGGGCTCTGCCCGTCCGCTGCTCGCCCGCCTCTCCGCCGCGCTGCCGTGGCCGCTGGGCGGCCTGGGGGCCGGCTCCCCCCGGTCCGCCGGCGGCCTCCTCCTCCTCCTCCTCCTCCTCCTCCTCCTCCTCCTCCTCCCTCTCCTCCTCCTCCCTCCTCCTCCTTCCTCCTCCTCCTCCCTCCTCCTCCTCCTCCTACTCCTTCACTCCTCCTCCTCCTCCTCTCCTCCTCCTCCTCCTCCTCCTCCTCCTCCTCCTCCTCTCCCCCCTCCTCCTGCTCCTCCTCCTCCTCCTGCTCCTCCTCCTCCTCCTCCCTGGGCAGAGCACCGGTTTTGTCGCTCAGCGAGGAGGGGTAGTCTCAAGCGTAGGTTCTCGAGGCTTCAAGCGCAAGAGGGCACCGGTGTAGCGATGGTTTTTTCTGCGGAAGGCTCAAGGGATCACACACGGAGAAGAGCACTCTGCGAGATTGGTGGGAGCACAGCGCCGCGGTACGGAGACCGACGATCCGCATGTCCGCATCCACGGCCTCGCGGGCCGGCGGGTCCTTGGACCGCGTCCCCGCGGATACGGAGCGTTCTTTTCGTGGATGCCCCGCGCGGGACGTCCCCGTACGACCGCGTATCTGCAGGATTGCGCCCCGGAATCCAGACCGCGAGGGCACGGGTCCGGACATGTGCGCTGCTCGTATGCGTGCCCCCGCTGGCGCGCGGCAGATGCAGCGTTGCACAGTGCAGGATCGGCCTTCGCCTCTCTCGGTTTTGGGGCTCCCAGATAGGGTCGGAGGATCGCGCCGCAACGCGGATGCATCGGCGATGCAGCTCGATGTGGAGCCCGATGTTCTCCACGCCGATGTCGCCGATGCACCGCCGATGCACCGCCGACGTCGCCGACACATCGTTGATGTATTGGTGATGCGTCGACGATGCAGCGCGATCCCCTGATGGCTGTTCCGGACGATCACGATCCTTTTCTTGCACAAAAAACATTTAAGGTACACATGGCCGTGCTATAACCCTAGTCCCCGCCGTTTTCACTAGCCGACCCTCTACTCCTCGACCCGCCTCTTCACTTTTGCTGCTACCAGGGTGCTTTGCCGGGGTACTTCAACTTGGCTCGTGGCGCGAACGGCACAGCATCGAAACATGCGCGAGCTAACAGGGAGAACAGCAACGATGGCGTGCGGGGTCCGTGTCGTGTCGACGCGGTGGCGACGCCATAACGTTGAAGGCTGCAAACCACCGGCCGCCCGAACGCGGGAAATATTGAACGGCCTCGCTCGTCAGGAAGCCACCGTCGTCTATGTTTGGGCGGTCCAGGCGGTGTCAGAAACCAGCGCGCAAGTCGTCACGAGAAGGGCCAGTCGCCGGTCGCCCCTCTGCGATCGAGGTTTCGCGGTTCCGCACCTCCTGCAGTGGCTTACGTAGTCGTGCTCCGCGCGTTCTGCCGAGCGCACAGGGACACGGCGGAAGCGAAAAGTTTGCTTGGTGTGATGTGCTAGTTGCGCTGCTGGAGCTCCTCCATCCCCAGCCTCGGAATCGCCCCCATCACCGATTCGTTCGTTGTTTTCCCTCCGCCCAGAGGGGAGGACGAGTGCCCGTCGGTCGCTGAGATTACGCAACGCGTTGGAAAAGTACTTCCTAGTTGGACGTCGACGCCACCCTACTCCAAAAACCGAAGTACTTCTGAGCACTCCACAAACGAGGCGGCGGGCGGACTTCCAGTCTACCTCAGGCACCAGCTTGCCCGATGTCTCCACCTGCATCTTCCGACCGGCGAGTAAGGGGACGGGAGAAGTGAAGCGGCGGAGCGCGAAGGGAAAGAGGGCAGGAGCGGTCATCGCGGCCCTCCTGGAGCAGGCGATGCGGGAGGCGATGTTGGGCGGAGCCTCTGGGGAGGGGGACACTCTCTCGGACGGAGATGGCAGGCAATCGCTCGTTCGTTCCCGCTCGAGTCGAGCCCATAGCCACTTCAACAGAGTTTGGCTCTCTGTAGGCTGCGGCTTTGCTCGGTCGGTCTCGCTTTCCCCCCTACGGGGGCGAGCGCGCACACCTCCACACCTCCTTGCTAGTGGAGCGGCGCCCCCGCGGCTCGCGGATACGCCAGGGAGGAGGAGGAGGAGGAGGTGGTGGGAGGAGGAACTCGGAACTCGGATGTCCTCGGAAGTCCGCCAGGAAAGGCTTTGCCAGGGGTGTGCAGGTAAATTCTCAACCTGCAGACCCGGCGGCCCTGGCGATACGCTATGCCTTGCAAGCGGATCGCGTGTGGCTCTGCATTGTGTGGCGGGACGCTCGGAAAGGCTCGGGACGGTGAAGCTTGGGGAGGAGGAGGTGGAGGAGGAGTGACGAGGAGGAGGGACGAGGAGGAGGAGGGGGCGGAGGAGGAGGAGGAGGAGGAGGAGGAGGAGGAGGAGGAGGAGGAGGGGAGGAGGAAGAGGAGGAGGAGGATGAGGAGGAGGAGAGGAGGAGGAGAGGAGGAGGAGGCGGAGGAGGAGGAGAAGGAGGGGGGAGAGGCGGAGGAGGAGGATGAGGAGGAGGAGGAGGAGGAGGAGGAGAAGGGTGAGGAGGGATGGGAAGGAGGATGGTGGGAGGAGGAGGAGGAGGAGGAGGAGGAGGAGGAGGAGGATGAGGAGGAGGAGGAGGAAAGAGGATGGAGGAGGAGTAGGAGGAGGAGGAGGAGGGGGAGGGGCGAGGAGGAGGAGGAGGAGGAGGAGGACGACGACGACGAACGGGGGGGAGGAGGAGGCGAGGACGGAGGTGGGAGGAGGGGAAGGGAGGAGGAGGAGGAGGAGGAGGAGAGAGGAGGAGAAGGAGAGAGGAGGCGAAGGAGGATGGAGGAGGAGGAGGAGGGAAGAGGGAGGCGGGAGGAGGAGTGAGCAGAGTAGGAGGAGTGAGCGGGAGTGAGGGTGGGAGGGAGGGAGGGAGGGAGGGATGGAGGGAGGAGGGAGTGAGGAGGGAGGAGGAGGGAGGGGGGAGGAGGGAGGGAGGGAGGAAGGAGGAGAGGAGGAGGGAGGAGGAGGAGGAAGGAGGAGAGGAGGAGGAGGAGGGAGGAGGGCAGTATTTTGAGGAGGAGGAGGAGGAAGGGAGGTGGGGGAGTGCAGGAGGAGAGAGAGGAGGAGGAGGAGGAGGAGGGAGGGAGAGGGAGGAAGAGGAGGAGGAGGAGGATGCGGAGGAGGAGGAGGTGAGGAGGAGGAGGAGGAGGAGGAGAAGGAGAGGAGAGGAGGAGGAGGGAGGAGGGGGAGGATGGTGAGGAGGTGGGAGGAGGAGGAGGAGGAGGAGGGGAGGAGAGGGACGAGGGGGGTGAAGGAGGGGGGAGAGGAGGAGGGGAGGAGGCAGAGAGAGGAGAGGTAGGAGGAGGAGGAGGAGGAGGAGGAGGAGGGAGGAGGAATGAGGAGGGAGTTGGAGGTGGGAGGAGGAGGAGGACGAGGAGGAGGAGCAGGAGGAGGAGGAGGAATGGGGGGGGGAGGAGGGAGGAGGAGGAGGGAAGAGGGAGGAGGGAGGAGGAGGGAGGAGGGAGAAGGGAGGCCGGAGGAGAGCGGAGGAGGAGAAGGGAGGAGGAGGAGGAGGAGGAGGAGGAGGAGGACAAGTCCTCTCTGCACTGCTCTTTATCCCTGGAGCGAAGCTGGGCGAAGCGCCCTCAGAGGAGTGACGCATGCACGTGGCGTGCTGTCCCTAAGTTTTCATGTTGTCACAGACGGGCACGCTCCAAGCCGCTACTGAAGAGGACAACCATGCAGATCCACCTCGTTCCTCTCCCTCTTCGTTGCCAGTGTCCAGCGTCCAGCCCCCCCCCCCAAGTCAAAGGTGGTCGGCATAGTAACCAGAAACGGTAGAGTGCAGAGCAAAAAGAAAACCTTACAGTCAAACACAGTCAGAAAACTCTAAACGTTAAACAAAGATGGGAACTTCATAATCGGTACACGTGAGAAAACCGCAAGGAAAAGAAGGCACAACCAAAAACAATTAACACCTATATGCATACACAGATTTGTAGCAAGTAAGAAACAATAAGAAAACGGATTAGGACCACGATCTTTGTGAGGATTTTTGAATTACAAACAGTTTGAAGGAATCGCATAATCCTTGTGACGCCGCTGGGAGCCCTAAAAATCGAAGCTGTTCGGCAACAGTGCTGCCTCAACAGAAAACAACCACTACTAATATGAACAGTCAGAACACCTTACACACAAAAACACTCAGATGAGCTTATGAGGAAAACAACGATGGAAACTACACACATGAAAACAATAAGAACAGCCGCTAACAAACACAATAAGAAAACTTCACCAGTGAAAGCAATGAGAAAACCTTCTACGTATGACCAATCAGACAATCAATATTTAAACATCAACAGGAAAGCGTATGAGGACGACGATCCCTGTGAGGGTATTAGGCAAATTGTTTGAAGGATGACGAAAACTTTGTAATCATTGTGAGACCTCTACAAACCCTGAAATCAACGGTTTCTGGCATTAGCGAGAGAGGAGAGGAAGCCAGAGGGAGAGGGAAGAGAGACCCGGCAGGGAGCGCGAATGCCTGCTACCTTTGATGTATATGGTTTTTATGGTCTAAAAGGATTCATTCAGTTCTTTGAAAGGTGTCTTAAGGTTTTTTGAACCGCACAGGGATCGTGGTCCCCAGACGTTTTCCTATTGGTTTTACTTGTGGATGTTCATCTTGATTTGAACATATAAGGTCTCTGACTGTTTATTACTTGCAAGGTTTCTTTATTGTTTTCAGTTACGGAAGCGGAGAGGGAACCCGGAGGGAGAGAAGAGAGAGACCGGGGAGGGAGCGCGAATCCAAAAAGAAGTATGATTCTTGGGTTCCATGGGATCTCACAGGGATTATCGGATTTACAATAAAAACGGTGGGCCGTCACAGGGAGGTGATTTCAAGACGGCTTCTAATTGTCTTTGATTGTGGATTGTCATGTTGATTTTAAGTGAAAAATGTCTTATTGTTGTTATGTGTAAGGCTTTCTCATTGCTTTTATGTATGAGAGGGGAGAGGGGACCAGAAGGAGAGGGAAGAAAAATTGGGGAGGGAGTGCGACTGCCAAAAATTTGTGATGTTCATTGTTCTTAGGGGTCTCAGGGGAATTGTTCGGTGTTTGTTTAGGTGTTTGAATGTTCTTTGACCCTCACAGGGATCATGGTCCCAAGATGTTTCCTTAATGTTTTTCATTGGGGTTTGTAGTATTGGTTTAAGTGCTTGTTGTCTACTGATGTGTTATGTGTGAGGTTCTCTGATAATTTCTTTTATGTGTGAAATTGGGGAGAGAGATTGGGGAGTGAGCGCGGAAACGTAATGTTTCAGGATGTTCATTGTGCTTAGTGGTTTCATATTCATAGAGATGATTGAGCTTGTGATGTGTCTTCTTAGGTTTTCTTGGACCCTCACAGGGATCGTGGTTCCAAGATGTTTGAGGATTGTCTTGCATTGTTGTTTTGGTGTTGGTGTTGGTGTTGGGTTAAGATTATTGGATTCCTTTGAGTGTGTAGAAGTTCTCATTGGTGTCACGTATGACTGTTTATTATTGTTCTCACGCGTACAGTTTTCGCATTGTTGATGGTTGCAATATGTTATTGTTGTGGATGTTAGTAGTACTTTATTGTGTTGTAAGTGTTTTTGCTGTGTTCCATTGCGGACGCCTTTGCAACAACATTGCATCAACATGTACGTAAACTTCTGAATGAATTTCTCCGTTTAAAGCCTTCGGGCTTGCATCTGTGAAGATGGGGTCCCCGCGGGGAGGGGGCTACAGAAGAGGAGGACAACCATGCAGATACACCTCGTTCCTCCCACTCCCCCCTCCCAGAAAGGAGAAGCGCACAGTCAGAGGAGCAGTGGGAAGAGAGGAGGAAGTAGGCAGATTTGCACAGTTGTCTGATTCCCACAAGTGGATATACAGGTAAAATGTGTATGTATGCGTGTGCGTGTGTATTCCGCTGCCGTTGGCCGTCGGGCGGAGTGCGGCGCCGCGCACCACCCTGCCGAGCAATGAATGGCTCTCTCTTCGGGAGCCCACTCTGCAACGGGCCCGACGGGGAGGGGGAGGGGCAAGGGTCAGGAAGACATTCATCTGGTCGGGAGGATGGGGTTGGGAGAAATGAGGATATCCTTACCCGCAGGCGGCCGAAGGCATCGTTCACTGAATGTGGACGCTATTGCTCATACCCTTCATCTTCCCAACCCTTTCCTCCCAACACGATAATTGTTCTCCTCAAAGGGGGCGGAGGCGCAGGCCTTGTTCGATCGGCAACGCGCGCCCGGGGGGGAAGTGAGAGAGGGCGGGCCCTCTCAGAAGGCTCGGAAGTCCCTCGGCCTTCCGAGATGCGTTCTAAGCATGCCCCGAAGACACCGAAATCTATCAGAAGGCGCGCGGGCTTCTGAGAAGTCCCGCCGCCTTCTGAGAAGGCCTTCTCCTTCTCGCTCCCCCCCACCCCACCCTCGCTGCCGAATGTACTCGGGCGGATATGGTCTCATGTCTCGAAATACCTTCCCGGATCCGTGGATCTGGCGCCCACGCGCCAGAGGCAAGGATCAGGGGCAACGTTATGGGGGTGATGTAGCGCCGATTCCAGGTCGATGTGTCCCCCCCTGGAGCCAGTCCCCTCCCATCGTTGCCCCTCCGAGGGGGCGGAGGCGCAAACGTCTTGGCCGGGGGTTCATAGAGGAGGGGTTACCCCCCCCCAACGTGGGGTTTAGGAACGAGCCCGGCTGGATGGGGCGCATGTCCTTCTTCCCGGGCCGTTTAGAGCGGTGTTCCATGGACCCCACCTCTTCCCTGGGGCCAGCTTCTCGTCCTGAATCGTTTTGTTGACGGCCAGAGGGGGCCCGGCGAGGGCCCCCGGAGGTCGAAAACGGCCAA